TATTGAAACGTGCACTTTTCACCGGGTTCCCTTGTCCTTCTCTGGTCTCCCACTTGGCGAGTAGGTCTTTCTCAGAAACTGCTGTCACGCTACACTTGACCATACCGCGTCGTTTGTCAGGTGACTGACGTTACATATGAGATAGTTCCAGCTGATCCAACTTCATCATCGTCAGCTTCGAGGGACATTGTGCACATAGCTCGACTCAAGCCTTATCACCCTCCTTCCACCGCATGCGAGTAGCTCAAGCACCGAGACGGTGCTTCTACCGCCTGGGGGTTATAATACAGAGCAGCTGCAGCAGCCTTGCTGCATGAAAGAGAAAGACGACGACGGTTGCTGGTTGTTGAACTGGCGCCATCTTGTACACCGAGCTATGTGCATTGTATATAGTTTAATAAATAAGTTACTCATAACAGTAGGAAAGTGTTTACTATATTAAGTAAATAATAAATCCTACGTAGCACGTTGGGTAGATAAATATGCGCAACATCGTAAGTAAGCCCCACACGTAAGCTCTTCACACTGCAAGCTGTGCGTAATTGCATGCAAAGCCTGGTGCCATGTTTGAAAAGTATTTTAATGGGAACGTCAGTATCAATTTCTCAGTTATATCAGAAATATTTTAGGAGACATGCTTTATCTTGCAGTTTTCCTTGCATTCCATTATGCGCGAAGCTTCTTCAGGTGACCTAAAAGCACGAAGCAGAATAAGCAGACGAAAAAATTGTTGTTTTTCAATACCGAAGCACAAGCACCGATTGAGGCATGTCATATTAACGACAATATGATTTGCGGATGCCTTCTAGATTAAAAAACAAACAAGAGAATGAGGTCGGCAAGCAGCGAATGAAGCCAGTGGTAATACGCAATTTTCATGTCTAAGAGGTAATATTCCCGTTACTATTTTGTGTTTCAGTGTTTGAGAATTACAAAAGATAGCACGATGAGAGGCAGAAACGCAAAAAAAAAAAAAAAAAAAAAAAAACGCCGTCAGCTAGTTAGACTGAACACAACACAAATTGCTGCTGATGTGGATGTCATGGATACACTTCGCAAACGCTTCAGATGTGTAATGACGTCATGAACGTTTTGAAACCGATATTTTTTTTTTATTCTAGAGGTGAAAAGCATTCCTAATTCTGGTACTGTTTTCACAGCAATTGGGTCAAACAAACGAACTAAGCGCGAGAACTGCAAACCTTGAACTTGCTGTACTCGTACACAAAATGGGTGCTGCCCACGGCCTTGATCACAGGCCTTGGTTATTTGCCTGCTAAATTTAACCACCTTAACCCTTCATGGCTTTTTGGGGTGCTAATGTTAATGGGAGGCTTACTGTTTCTCCCTGTGCGAGCATAGAGTCACAGTGAAATCAGTCTGCGTTTTCTTTTTTATTTCCTTTTTTCCTTTAACTTGAGAAACTCAGAGGGTTATAGTAATATAAAGGTCGTTCCCAACATTGAAAAACGACCATAAATGCGGGAAAACAAGCAGCAACATCTGCTGTTTGAAGCTGGTCTAAAACTTCAATCATCTCAACAGGATGTTATGTTGGGCTAGTTGGTACATATTAGGCTGAAATACGTGGCGCAAGGTTGACAAAGAGAAAAAAAAAGAAGGCGCTCTTTCTGTCTCGTCTTTTTTTCTCTTTGTCAACCTTGTGCCACGTATTTCAGCACCTCAACAGAGCTTGCCGCTGCCACCGCTCAGCAGCGCCACGGTACCTGGAAGTTGTGAATATGCTCATCACTTAAATTGAGGTGACATGAAAAGCTTTCTGGAGTCTTCCAATACATCCCCTCCTAATCATATTGTTGTCTTGAGGCCACGTGGAGCTCCACCAGTTATTGTTCTTAATCAGATGACATTTTCTTGGCCTTGTACAGTAACAAAAGCACTTTCCAGTCTAGTATGCTTGCTTTTCATGAAAAAAATGGCTGGTTTGATGATCTTGTGCAAAGTTGGCCACGATGTGCATTCTACAGACTGAACAGAAGCAGAGGCACCAAGGAGCCAGAATGGCAACACGTGAGCCAAGGTGTCCAGAAGACCATTGGATGGTTCTTGTGAATTTTTCAAAGCTGTCGCTGATTGATGGTCTGCTCAGTGACTAGCATTGCTTAATATATTGCCACAATATGCCAACATTGCCGTCGGTGAAGCTGAAGAGAAAAAAAGATATATTTTTTTTTGACATGCAAGCTGTGCAAGTGGAGGGCAGCTAACACAAGAAGAGGCTATTTTTTGTTTCATAACATGCAATAAAAGCAGTAGTGTTTTCTTATTTTAAATACCGAGGGTTTAGCTCGTGTGCAGCCAGCATGGCAGATGAAACTGGTAGAGAGCTCACTGCTGTTTCAACTTATCCAAATGATGCAACCCCCGCAGATGAACCCAGCATTATGTTAGAAGTCTGTAAAACTTCTCCATCAGTAGCCATCATGACAGATTCACAAGAACTGAGCAAGTGGTGAAGGGTGGGCGAGTTGGTACATGTTTTTAAAGGAGGAATAAGCTGCATAGGTATGGGTGAAGCAAAGGAAACACACGAAGACGGGTGCCAACAGGCAGCTGAGGATTTATTGAGAAGAACAAGTATGGATAAATTTAATATGTGTGAACAAAGATTAGGGGAAGCTTTGCATCATGGAAGTGATGTCACATAAAGGATTTTTCTTTCTAATAGATCAATAGATGGCTCGTTTATACACAGCTCCCCTTTTTTGCTGATTATTCGGGTGTCATGAATTTATCCCGGGAGCGCTTGCGAAGGATGGAAGTGAGAGATGGGAGAGGAGCATGGCAAAACAAGCACGCTTTATACAAAGGACGGATGCCTCGTACTCATGGCAACAGGCCTCAATTATCTCTCTAGCTACCTGTCATAACAGCGTTTAAAGGGGTACTAATGCAAAAACTTAGGCCTCGCATTTTTTTGCTGCAATATATTTCTGGAGGCCTGTTAGTCACAACACGGCACATAATTTGTGCAGAATGCGACATATAATTACAGGCCTCTCGTTATCGACCAGTTTTGGTTTGAGAGAGCTTGAAAAACCACCAGCTGTCGAGTGCAACTATCACCACCTGGCGTGTGCAGCTCTCGACCATGTCAGCACACAGAACTGTGACGCACTTCTGCATGGTCAGCATCAAGAATTCCTTTCGAATAAGAAACGAGACAGCAGTGTCGCCAAACAAAACTTTTACAACGTGTGCCACAGCTACGCACTCGCAACCAGCCACCAAGAAGTATAAACTGCTGGAACACCCCCCCCCCCCTCAAATAAATATTGAGACTATGATGTCATGATAACTTGTGTTTATTGACTGGAGCATGGTGATATGAGGGAAGTAAGGAGGACCTCAAGAGGCCCTTATATATGGTGTCAATACCTTCAATATTTAAACTTGTGGGGTCTCGGCGAGGCGAACGAGCGCTTTGCCACGCCACGCTCTTGGTGTGAACGGACACAGCAGACACGGTCGGTACAAAGCACGCAACATACATACATTTATTAACTAATTTAGACGACGATATCGTCCGCCGAATGTTACATCAATTTTAATTAACACGCTACCATACAAAAAACATAAGGCAGTGACACACTAAACACACAATAACATAATAAACACGCACTAACACACCCAACACACTAACACATACCCAAGGCGGCGTCGCCAGCGCCCGACTTTCCACGTGGGACCCCGGCGCGAAGCCCACGGTGCCGAGCACCGGAGACCCACGCTACAGACAACCGTTCGCGGCAGCCGCCACGCGCAGAAGAGGCTCGCTCAACTCTCCCCCACCACCAAGGCCTGCCTTCCGCCAGGGGCCACCGCCGGCGCTACCACTCTACCAACAGTGGTACTCAAAGCGAACACAACGCCATCTATCGCCCGGCGGTGGTCACCACCGAAATAAAGCCTTGGGGCGAGACACGTGCGCCACGCGGTGCAGACAACTTTACAGAGGGGGTGTCAGCACCCCCACAAACTTCAAAATTGCTGCAAAATACCTTCCGAGCTATATTCGCTGTTGATATTTTGATATACCCATGTTCACAGAAATCGATCCTGCAGACTATCTCAGCCGCAAAATTTTATCAGTACCATACAGGCTGGGATGCGTCTGTGTTTGGCACAATGTACAACTACTTCCAACACCAATTTTGAAAGAATTAGCATGTTCTCACAACCGATCATTGATGCACTGCCCAGTCTGTCCACATGCACCTTTCCGCATGAACATCAAATCTCATGAATGATACAAGTTGCACACTTGGTGGAGAGCTTTGCGTGTTGCTTGAAATAGATGAATGAGCACACTCGCCACTCAATTGCGATAATTATGCTCATTCGCTATGTCAGTTGCTGCATATCCTGGATGTCACACTAGTTTAGAAATGCTTCTTGTATCACCACCAGGTCATGAAATAGTCTTGCGAGACAGTAGAAAAATCTTTTCACCAGTTTTGCAAAAAGGAATAAATACCTTTAAGGTAGGTGTTTAGGCAATGCTCGCTGTGTTGGTGTATTTATTTTTCACTCCTATATTGGTATGGATGGTGCATATCAGGAGATACAAATCACTACTTTGTGTCTTTTGCAAACTACGCTTAGTGTGTAGTTCTGCTGCATTCCTGGCTTGTTTATATTAATGAGGTTTGACTGCATTTGTATAATGACTAGCTCTTCAACAGGTTGAGATGGAAGTATAACTTGATATTGAAGAGCAGAATTTTTTAAAGATGAAAAAGCTGGGAGGCTGATCGTAAGACATCATGAAGACTCAGCGACAAAGCTTGGGCGTGTTGGTGGAACATTGGAGGCAACACAGCACAATATAGAACATCTACAAAGAAGGGCGACGCACATACGTTGCCCTTCTTTGTAGATGTTCTATATTGTGCTGTGTTGCCCTTCCTTGTCTGCATCTTATTTTGCACTGTGTTACCTCCCAATTTAAGACTGTTCGTATTTTTATGTATGTGCAGGAATCGTTCAGCCCCGAAGACTTTGTTGAGCGCCTTGCCTGGCGCAGCCTGGGAGGCAACATGGACCCTGAGACCTTTGACCCTAGTGTGCTGCAGGAGGCATTCAAACAAGGCATTCGAGACCTGCAGGTCCTCTTTGAGATGACCCAGAAGAAGTGTGAACGCCTCGAGATGATCTGTCGGGAGGAGGAAGCACGTCATTGCCACAAGGTGGCCGAACTCCAGGACAAGAACAAGGTTGTCCCATGTCCCTTAGGCTGTCACTGACATTTTTGCATGTCTTCCCCGCAGTGCCACTGGTGTACCAGTCACACCAGTGACACTGTGGTCACGTGGCCACACGAAATGCTGACACGATCATCAATTGAGATTTCGTCTGCTCGGCACGCACATGTATAGGTATGCATTTGCCATCCCCAATGTCGTCGCTGCTGTCATTAGCGTCCACAAGCGGCGATGAAAACACTGAGAAATATGGAATCTCGGTGTGGCGAATCATTTTTGGTTCGATCCTCTTATGAGCATTGATTCTGAAATCTACGCTGAACCGAGCAACCACGAGGCAGCTGGAGACGCACGCTTGGGCCACGCTGGCTGGTAACACATATGAATGCTGCATGCGTGTAACTTGTTCGCAATGAACATAGCTTCAAATACTAATCCATTTGCACATACATTTCCACAACGAATTACCCGTAGTAGCATATACCGTATTTACTCGATTCTACCGCGCCCTCGATTGTAACGCGCACCCGATTTCCACCGCGAAAAAAAAAAAAAAAAGTAAGACATCAGTTGCAATGCGCACCCATTTTTCTCGCTGGCCCGCACGATCACACCACTCAAAAAAACGACTCCTTTCGGGAGCGTCTTCCATTTAAATATGAGGTACGGGCGAAGCTTGTGCCCATCTGACGTGTAACAGAGCATTGCCGTCACTGTTGTTTTACCGTGGACCGAGGTCAGCATGCGAACTTGCTTCGCCCCCTTCTTCTCGACGATTGTGGTGCCAGGCATGTCGAAGTAAAGAGGCGTCTGATTGGCATTCCCGATTTGCCCAAGCAGGTAGCCGTTGTTGCGCCGCAAGTTTAGCACGAACCTCTGAAAACTGTGAAGCTTTTCATCGTACTCCTCCGCAAAACTTTTCGCATATGCATGTTCCCCTTCGGAGGAAAAAGCCTTTCCTCTTCATAAAGTTAGTTAGCCAGCACCTGCTCGCTTTAAACTGGCTCTGCATTAGACCTTTTTCTAAGACTAATTGCATAGCCCGCACTTGGAGCAGTTCTGTCGTCACGGGCCGCTGTGCCGCTCGCTGCTCAAGCACATACTCGCCGAGCAGCTCTTTATTTGCGGAAACCGACCTTGCTGTGGTCCACTGAAGCCTTTGCGTGAAGCTTTGCTGTCGACAATCTTCTGCTTTTGTTTCCGCCGGTCCTGCACGCACGTTTCGGGAACTCCGAACGACTAGATGACGAACTCCTCAGCACACGTACGAAGTGCCGCACATGGGAAACACATAGGCAGAAATGGCCGACGCGCCATGCCGACGCACGTAAGGGGCGACCATTTTGGATTTGCCGATGGCAATAGATTGACCGTAATTTTTTTGTTTGTACTCGATTCTAACGCGCATGCGATTTATGAACTCGCTTCACCGGAAAAAAGGTGCGCATTAGATTCGAGTAATTACGGTATATTATGGTGGGGTATAAAAAGAAAAGAAAAGGACCCCAGCCTATGCAACAAGTGGCACAATGAGAACGCAGGATTTACACGGACGCACTGCGTGAACTAAGCAAAACCAAGCAAGTGAAGCGTTTGCCAGGCAGCCAGGCGTCACCACCAGATGGTACCAGATGTAGACACCGCGATGACAACACTAAAATTGTCAGCGTCATCACTGCTTCCTCATCGTCACTCGGTGCCTGAGGCGGAGCCTAGGAGCCCACTGAACACGTCAAATTACTGTCGATGTCTCATGGCCGAAACTCTCCGATAAGCCTTGGATGCTCTTTGAACTCAAATTAGAATAACTTTGATGTAACACGAGTGAGTTATGCTTCACTGAAAAGACTCATGCATACCAAGCAACCGAATGAATGGCACATCTAAAGTTTGAAATTCGGGATTATTGCTTGCTCCTTTAAAAGAAACTGACTGGATTCCCAGAGATGGCTGACGCACAAGAGGGAGACAGAAATTTAGGTGGGCCGATGAAATGAAAAAGTTCACAGGTATAACGTGGCATCAGAAAGCACAAGCACTACATCCTCAGCCACAGGTGCATGCGCAGTTCTGATGTCTGGTGACAGCCTCGAGGCAACATTTCCAGCCTCTTGGAAACTTTGGGTACATTTTTACTGCTTCATGTTGCGAATGGAATGTTCAAGAGGACCATTTGCTGCTACTAGGTGGTATGACATCCACTTAGCCAGCTTCAAAAAACCAGGTTGTCATGCGCACCTGAAACATTTGGTTTGAAGGAAAGCAATAACAGTGTTGTTGTTTTATTGACATGTGAATTTTGCACTGACAAAGTGCTTTAGAGGCCTACCCTAAAACAGGTGCTCAGACACCATCAGCAATAGCATCAACAAAGGGTAGCGTGTTGCCTTTTAGAAGTTCTGTGGGCCCTGATTGCAGAAGAAAAAACTTTGCCGATTCACAGAAGGAAAAAGTATGGCTTAGTGGACACTTCGCAACTATACTTGTCGTATGTATTCTAGGATAGTTATGAACAGCCAATGTTATAATCACCGATGTTCGTTTCCTTGTGGCACTGTTGAGGCATCCACCAAGAAGTGAAGCCAAGCTAGCACTTGAGAGGGCTATGGGAGTGGGGCCCTACTACAGTGTCGTCTTCTACTCCTGAAGGCGCTCAAGCAACCTACAAGTTTTTTTTACTCTGATCAGCCTGGTCGCTGTTAATGTTTTTCATCGCATTTGTGCTTGTATATCTATGCAGCAGCTTGAGGCCTGCACACTGTGCGATGCGAGTACACGCTAAAGAATATCAGATGGTCAAAATTTCTAGTGCCCTCCACTGCAGTGTCTCTCAATCATATCATGGTGTTAGGATGTGAAAACCCAAAATATTATTACTACTACTACTACTACTACTACTACTACTACTACTACTACTACTACTACTACTACTACTACTACTACCATTACTACTACAGTTGAACCCCCTTATAAGAGACATGCTCTGGAAAGCAATTATTGTCTCCTATACCCTTTTATCTGTTACATCAGTGCACGGAGTAAAATAAGAGAGGAGCGCCGACTCCGCTCGTGGTGAAGAGACACATCTTGCAACGCCGCTTTATGCTTTGCGGTGCATCTGCGAGATGGTGCTACGAATGGAGGAAAGCGGCGGAGGAGAGCATTCCTCGAGCAGAGCTGCAAGCGGGGGCTCCGTCTGTCGTTGCCAGCGGCACGAACGCATGCTTGGCTGCGTTCATAGGTCTGCTCGCCTATCCGTTTCGTCGTATGCTCCGCACATGCATTACCTCTGCTACCAATTCTTTCCTGTAACGAGCGTGACTATTGCAGTTTGTGGATCGATGTTATGAAAAGAAATAACCTAAACGTATCATTTTACTTATTTTATTCGAAACAGGCCAAATTCCTGGCATTTTTAACGTTGACCACACAGAATTATACTATGCCACTACAATGTACATGAACATAATACATATATAAACTTAATACATTAGGTAACACTGCCAAAAGTGAGCTTCAATTTGGGCACAGAGGGTCTCTGTCGCTTATAGCAGTAGAGCTGCTTGCACCACTTTCTGCCGCACATTGTTCGTTGAAAGGTGCATTCAAGCTGTCGTCTCAGATCCTTGCCAGATGGCCAACGAAGGAGTCCTCTTGTTGGCAAGGCTGAGAATTTTCATAATCTGGGCAAAGAAAGGCGCCCACTCTGTATGCGGCTGTAGACTAATTGATGTCCTCTCCCTCTTCGACACCAGTGTCTATTGGTTCCTCCTGATATTCAGCGTCATTGAGTTGAGCCACGCTTACCTGAAAGATGGAACGAATTGCTCCTTTTCGAAGTCGAGGCACTTTCTTTACGTCTAGTAGAAGGTTTCCTTTGTGTTTGCTGAAGTACCTATCAAACATGAGTTGCTGCTCGAAGTGTCGAGCACATATTTTGCCCTTCGATTTCAGGGGTCGCATGCTCACAGGTACTTTTTAACGCCACTGATGCAGTAGCAGCAGATCACTTGGGGCTGCGAAGAGCGGAATCTTCTCCCACCCTTTGCCATAACCAGACTTGCAGCGGGGATCATAACACTTCATTGTGCTCTGTCCGGTTACCCAGAGTTTTTACACACAAATATAAAGATATCTTGTTTCTTCGAGCATGAATAAGCACATTCAAGACATTTTAAACGAAAATGTCCGACCAACACTGCCGCTCAGGCGTGGAAGACAAGCATACGTCTGCTCTGCCGTTCTTTTTCAGAATTTTTCATCTGCTTTGTCTAAAGATCAGTAACAGTGTTTCGCATATGTGTAAAAAAAGCGGTACAATGTTTTTATTTCGGATTTCATTATGAGTATGCATATAAACATTTCGTTTGATTGTCATACTGAGGCAGCCGAGCAAGCAGTTTTCTAGCAGACGGCATGCTCCGTGCCCGCCGCTCCTTGTTGCCGCCGCCGCAGGTTTCTGCCAGTTCGCGCATGCGCTCATTAACAGCTGTACAGATGGCGCTACGCTTTGTGATACGCGCCGAGAAAGGAGGAAGCATTGCGAAAGCAGAAGGAGGAGCGTAGGAGGAGAGAAGAGGAATCGAGTTGGACCAATGCATGCGCGTTGCATGATGTGTCCCACGCGAAAGCGTGGGGCGTCAGCAGAGTCGACGCTTCTCTGTTATCTTACTCCTGCATCAGTGCCTCTTATAAAGGGGTTCAAGTGTATTATTATTATTATTATTATTATTATTATTATTATTATTATTATTATTATTATTATTATTATTATTATTATTATCCAGTAGCTTAGTTCAAATTAGTGGAAGCATGAACTTGTGCATTGTGCTAGCTGATAGAGTTTTTCAAGATACTGTTGCGTGGAATAATGCACATGCTTAATTAAAGCAGCTCCAAAACAATAGATACACTACTTGTGTATGTCATGTAGCCACTTTGTGTTTTTGAATGCAGTCCTCATATGCCACATACAAGGAGCTGGATTCGCAAATTGGCTATGTGGCAATGAAGGTGGTGCACTTGGGCGATCTCCTGGAAAGTGTGAACACACCTCGTTCACGCGCCGTCGAGGCACAGAAGCTGATGAAGCATTTTGCAGAGTTTCTTGGCCCAGAGCATGGGCCGCACACGGGTATCTTCCATGACCCAGCCAAGGTAACGGCCTCCAATCTCTGTATAGTGAATAAAAATGAGCAAAGGGATGATTAATTATGCTTGCAGGATGTAGCAGCTTCGAGAAGAGTTCTGCTAGTTGTAGGATTTCTGGATGAGAGCCCACTCACAAAACACACGGACACAGCAGAGGCGGTTGAAACAAACCAAACATTGTGCACATTTATTCAATTACATTTACATTGATGATATCGTCAGCCGAATCAAATACATCACAAGTGGTCAACATCCTAAAACAACCTTGTACAGTATTGCAATACACTCAATCAACATAATTGACAAACATGGAAACGCGAGGACTGTGTTGTCGATGTTCAGCTCACAACAAGGGACCCACGGGAGACAACCCGCGATCTCCACGGAACACAACTTCCCAACACAGTGGATCATGCAACTTTTCTTGCTACTTCAGTTTCTGCTTGCACCTCTCCCGAGTGACGTAGTTGAGCACATCAGTGAAGTCTCTTGACATCGCTCTGAAACACATCTGAAAGAATGCGGGAGAAATAATGGACTCAAATACACCACACAAACACCACTAGCATCATTGAGAAAGCATTACTGGAAGTGCCGCACTGGAAGCCTTCTTGAGCAGGCTGTTTGATGCACGACAGCTTACAAAGAGCGAAATCGTCTATAGAGCTATCTAAATGCTGGACGCGCTAGCGGTGGGTCTCGACCAGAAGAAAGGGCATTAGCTACACTGTTGAAGGGAAATGAAATATGTTCTAAAGGTTCGCTGTGATCGACCACGTCATGAGCAAAAGGGCACGAGGCACGTGCCGGGCACTGGAATGTGGCGTCGGTGCGCGAGACCCCGATGGTGCCTTTGCGCGTGTTAGCGGCACTCGAGTTCGCACAGCTGAATTCTCCGGCAGCGTTTCATTCTCCGGCAGCGCCTCCTTCTCCGGCAGCGTCTCCGTGCTTGCTCGGGAAACGCTGCACTGCGTTAACGTGGACTCCGAGCCCTGAGCGCGTCCACTCGACGCGGTTGCCCATTGGTTCAACGAACATTCAAAAAACAAAAAAGTGAGCCTTCGAGCGAGACCGCATAGCAACGCATCGCCAGAGAGGGAGAACGAGCCGAGATTCGAGCCGGGACCGCAGAGCAACGCATCGCAGAGCGAGCCGAAACGCGAGTGGCGTCGGACGTATCCGATCGAGCTCCTGCACCGAGTCCAGTTTCCTTATACATGTAACCACTGCCGATTCACCTGTAACTTAGCACAATACAGTTTTCTTAAAAGTTGAACCTTGCCTTGACTACATTCATTCGGACATCGCTGACACGCGCCATGTTGACAGTCGAGATTGGTCACAGAGGCTCGTGGCATGCGACCGGCGCCATTATGGAAAATCACAGAAGATGAGCTGGCACTGTGCATTTGAGCTTTGAGCTGAGAAGATTAGAAAGGTCGGCATCGCAACAGTGACAGAGGCAGTAGAGCCACCCGGTGCTGAGGTTGTCGGCAAATAGGCCGTGGGAGTAGTCGTCGATCTCAGAAGACTCGTGTGAGGCTGCCCGGACTTGCTGCATCCTTTCCCTGCAGTTCCTGGTCTACAGCTCTTCCGCTTCGTGCCAGAACAGATGTAGGCCGCACCACTATCAAGACGCCATTGATGAGTTAGGTGGTGATGACGACGATGATACATATTTTATTAAAAAAAAAGGCAAAAAAGGGAGGGGCAAACGTCAAGGGTGGTTTCCCCATTCCAGGACACCAGTGGCCGCTGCAGCTCGCCAGGCTTGATCCAGGAGACCCCTTTGGGTCTTCAGGTCAGGTCGGGTGAGGACGGCTTCCCAAGGCTCCCCCAGTAGCGTGAGTATCAGAGGCGACTGAACCTTCATAGGCTTGCTCCGGCAGTCCCATCTGACGTGTTGCAATGTCGGTCGTGACTCGCACCACGGAGATTGGTTTACATATGCATTGGGGTTTATGTGCTGCCACCTTTCCAAATGTGAATAGGCGTTAACCTGAATTTGTCTTAGCTGGCGAGCTTCGTCAACTTTAAGCGATTTGTGCGGTGGGGCATACCGCTGTTTTGTCTTCCGTTGATGCTCGAGTATATTGCGTGCAGTGCAAGGTTCATACTGATTATCATTATTGTTGTTCACTTGGTTGCTCGAATCACGAGCGAAAGTGTGCGCCAGCGCATTACCCGAGATACCCTTGTGGCCTGGGAACCAAATTATAACATGGTTAGGTGTAATCTAACTGAGCCGGAGACAATGACAAAGACCGGGACACCGGCAATGAGGTCGAGCGACTCGTTTGGTGGAAAAGGACCACGACAGTAGGAACTTAAGGAGGACGGCGATGACAGAATCCATGAACTGCCGACATAGCAAGGGCACAGAGTCGACGTGGCCAAGCGACGAACCCAAAGATCGTTTAGGTGCTGAAATGCCATATTGGATAACTACTGGCCAGGCATAGAGACAGATTCAGACTGGTTGACAGTCTGTTTTGGTTTTACTTATGTATGTGCTTTGTTGCTGAGTTAATTTTGAGTGTATGCATGTGTTTGTTTCTTTTTTCCATTTATTGAAAGTGTGTTTGTCTTGCCACGCCCATCTCCCGTCTCTCTCTTAATGCAATCCGTGTAAGTGCTCCCAAAATGAATCGCAACAGACCATTGGTAGGGAGTGTCCTTGCATATAGAGGAAACCCGCAGCAGACTTGCTGTAGGCTCGAAATTTGACGGCACCACCCCCGTTTTGCTGGAATAACGTCCTGAAATATAAGTATTTTGTGCAATTTACTTTGAGATTTTTTTACTCTGAAGTATCCTAACAGTGTGGGCCAATACTATACAGCCAAACTCTACTGTTATATTGAACTCAGGTAAATTTAATTGGCCCTTACATTGAATCGTAGAGTTTCTCACGAAAGAGAGAAATCTGTTGGATGCAAGGGAATGCTGTGATATGTGAGCTTCGAACTTTACTCGGATTTGTATACCTTGGAGACACTTCTGTCTCCACGTTGAACTTTAAAACATCGTTGGTGCAAACCTGAAAGAAGAAGAGAGAAGAGACTCTGAAAAGCGCACACTCGCAACTGACTTTTATTGAACTGAAGCTCATCTTATAAAAACCCTCACGCATGCGTACAACCACTTGAAAAACCGAACATCTATAATCACAACCTATTGGATAGAAAAGCAAATTCATTATCATACAATGACAGGGACGGAACACTGATGCATTGTTCGCCAAATTGCCTAATATACATCGCCTCTGCCAATTCACGTGCCACTTAGTCATTGCTTCTTTGTTTCTCATTGACAGCGCATGTTCCCTTAAGCGATTGTTCATACATCGGCCCGACTGGCCAATATACACCCTGCCGCAACCGAGCAGGATCAAGTAGACAACACCTACCAAACAACTCAAAAACTTCCTTTCGTGCTTCTTTACACAATCAGCACTTGGTACACCTCACGAACGAGCACAAATACGGGAAAGCCTCCGAGGTACTGAGAACATGACAGGGATCTCAAAACGAGAGGCGAAGTTGTTGAAGAAATGAGCCACTCTGTGTACACAGGGAATGACAACAGGGCGCTTCTTTTGTGTTTTTTTCCTTTGTGCCTGAATTGCCGGTGGCATCATGTCGAAATTTTAGCTGTAAAGCTTCACATACTGACGTTCAAACCAATAAAGGAAAACCCGCAGACATGAGTCTAGAAATTTGCACCCTGAAACTTTTCTCAAGAACGTGGTGGTAAGACCTGGTAAGAGTCAACTGTAAGCTCGTACTAGCAATGGCCCTTTTCACTACATTAGGATGAGCGGAATGATGTGGCAAAAAAGCCTTCTGAGCAAAAGGGGGATACATCCAACACACTTGGTTTTTGTCAAGCATGAGATGAAGATCTAAAAACTGCAATTTGTCATTGACGGGAAGCTCGTGGGTAAACTTGAGCCCTTGTCCAAACGCTCTAAACTTATCTAAAACAAAAGTGACACATTCAGAGTAGGGTTCATCTGACTCCTTTTTCAAAAGAGCTAAAAAATAATTCACATATTTAAAAACGCGTAATACCTTGTCTTTGGACAAAACAGTATCCAGGTGTCGGTCAATCTGACCCAGGAAGATATTACACAGCACTGGGGCTACACACGAACCAATACAAATACCTTCCTTTTGTACAAACAACTCGTTTTCGAACAAAATGAACGTTGCTCCAAGATAAAATGCTAAGAGGGCCAGAAAACTGTCTACCAGAACTCGGGAATGGTTAATAAAAGGCACAGACCCATTGTTTTCTATGCAGTAACTCCATGCGGTATGGAATAAAAAATGTCCTCGACATCGACAGAAAAAAAATGTCCCACAGAGCTATTGTCCTGAAGAAACTGAATTATGTCACAGGAATTTTTTACAGCGAACTGCTCGTCTGACAAAAGAGTGGTAGATTGTTTCAACAAGTAACGACTCACTATTACCTGCCACATACTATTTTCGCTGACAATTGGCTAAAGGGCATTTCTCGTTTATGAGCTTTAGGGCTAAAAAATGCAGATAGCTTATCTCTCTTGCACTCACTAATGCCCTTTGCCAGCCTAGACAGTCCGTGCTGACTATACAAGGCAACAGCATTAGACTTTACCTTGGGGGTGAAAACCCGCACTTCCTTGAAGTTCTTCAGTATGGCATCAGTGGCCTCGACTTCAAAGATCCCTTTCTTCACGAGCGCAAATCCACCTTCTTTGTCTGACACTAGCACGCGCAAGTTATTCTTCTTGAGGGAGAACACAACTCCATTCACGGGGTCACTCCCATTACGACTTCCTTTGGGAAGTCCTTAGCAAGCTATCAGTTCCATCCAGAACGCACCTCTCCTGGTCTTCAGCCATGGCCCTGCTGGCCATGTGTTAGTTCAAGGAAAGTAACTCGTGCACAGGAATGGTAGGCTCAAGGCTAAATCTCGGCCCATTGTTAAGTATGCGCGCCACCTCCTCTGGTACTTGTACGTCGCCCACCACTTGTAATCCTACCATTCGGATATCTTCTTCCTACGTCTGGGAAGCACCTAAAGACACCGTTGCCACTTGTATTCTGTTGTTTGAGCAGCCAGAATTCTTAGGCGTTGAAGTTCCACGTGCACAGCACCGGGCTGACTCTTGCTAAAGCAGCATGCTTTCATCCAGTCAAACATCAGCCTAAATTGCCGCTAAAGTTTGGAGCGCAATATATTGGACACGCGCTTCACATGTCCCACCGAAGGCATCTCGTACCCATACAAGTTCACGACTTCCACGGGAAAAAAAGCCATTGTTCAGGCAATAATACCGAGAAATTATCTCGAGACCTGTACGGTACTTCTTTTCTGCAAATAATTGTTTGTACTTCCACCCTGTAACGGCCCACTTCTGGGCTAACAGTATAAATAAATGAAATGAAATGGAATGAGTAGGCTATGGTCCTTGCTCTGCATGAAGTTGAAGCTATGAGGGTCACAAGACGAAAAGCATCCGGAATAGAGACACAAAAGGAAGAAGGGCCCACTGTACAAGAAAGATAGCTCTGTAACATATGCTGTTGGGCTAGTTGGTGTGTAGCTGTGTAAAACATCGTTAAAGGAACCAAAATGTGCTGCTTTCGGACACCTCACCAGTAGAACTCTCACTTTTCAAGAAGATTCACGCATCGCACCAGAGTCAACTGGCATCACGATTGTCAAAACGGGCACATTTAAAGAAAAACCCTCCTCGCAGTGCGTTTGTACCAGTCTGGCCGTGGTTTTTGCTTGCATGTGCACTAGCCTGCTGTAATCACTCATCACAACGTCATGCCCTGTGGTCATTGACAGGATTCAGCAAGAAGTGCATTCACTGTGTCACAGCACGAACACACATTCGGAGAACTCAACTAGTTATAACTGGACGAACTACAATGTACGATGCAAGACGCTATGGCTAGTGGTGTAAATTATAGAACTGCACAACCTTGCCAGTTGAGTAATGCACATTCCGCTTGCTCTGGTGCTGTACCACTGATGCTCAAATACGTAACCGTTTATTCTAAGACTCATTTCCTTCCATTTTGTTTCATTTACATCTACTCACCGTAGTAGCTGAACCCAACATTCGCTTTTTTTATGAAAGTTTTGAACCTTTAGGGGGCGCTCCAGAAACGTAAGGGAGGAGGAAAGGGAATGGGAAACAAGTGTCCACTACCTTGGAAACTTGTTTCATCTAGGGACCCTAATGCCTACAACTACAAACAGTGGAAAAATGAAAACTAAATAAAATTTCCCCATATTCTCTGAATGCCACCTTTCTTGGAATATGGTAGTGTCGTGAAGCCGACTTTCCCTGCTGAATTTGATCATGGCTAATTCTTTGAAATTTTTATATTGAATCGTACAATATTATATTAAGCCATTCCTCTACCTTTTTTTTTGTAAGATTGATATATGCATGTTAGACTGCCTGTATTTATAAAACTGCATTTTTTTATGAGAATAAATATTACGACTGAGAACTGTGTCGTTTTTTTGCTAGGTGTGCTAAATGTTAAGAAATTGCAGAATTAGGGGATAGAATATTTTTGTGGCCAAACTTTGGATTGTCTTATTTAAGCAGACTTTTTTTTTACAAGCATTTTCATTGTGTGGGTGTAAAACCTACACTTAGACTAAATTTTGTCAAAACTGGGAACGGTGACCACAGTTTTGTGTTCGTTCTGATCTGGATACACTCAAGAGTCACTTGTGATATGATAAACACAAGACACAGTCATGCCTACGTTTTTCAATGAAAATAATTCTCTCATTTATTTTCTTTTTGCAGCTTCACGAAGCTGCGGACATTATCCAGAAACTTCATCTTATAGCTCAAGAGTTGCCTTACGGAAAGTATGACCCGTTTTTAATCGGTGTGCATTGTTACGTGTGAGTGCTTTTCTGTGGAGTTTACTGCAAATTGTTGGTACCATTGGCCTTTGTCAGAAGCAGAGTAAGATGGGAATCTGTGTTGTGTGAAGCAAGGAGCTGCTTACTTTGTATTGTTTGTCTTTTTCTCTTTCGTCCAAATGTTAGTATAATGTTGATTGCCATGTGGTCATAGATGGAGCAATAAGTGTGCATGATGCTGGCTCACAGGCACATTGACTACACTGTGATGCTTAAAGGATAGCTCATACCATATTTACTAGCATAATATGCACACTTCTTTTGCAATTTTGGGGCCCTAAGATGGGGGTGCACAAATTACAAGGGAGTTTCGTGACCGTATACGAAATATTATGTCACAGTCCTAACGCGCCCAGTATATACATAAAAAAAATTGGAGCACAAATGAAGTGTATTTGTTTATTTTGAAAGAATTAGCACCAAATTTACTCAGTCAGATCTGGTTATGCGCGGTCTAGTGGGAATCATTGATCGCCAATTTCGATTGAGAATCATCATCGTGGCCGTTGCCACCGCCCTCCCAAAGCGCATCATCCTTGGTTCCATCGAGCGCGTTCGAACGCGGCATTTTTTTTAAATCTTTAGACAATTTGGGGAGAAACTAGGTTCCACGACATGGCGATACCGAAAAAACTAAGCATCCACAGATAATTGAAGAGGCCTCCCTCAATGGCAGGAAACCTGCATTAGCAAGCGCCCACTCTTCTGCTTCCTCACGTACCTATCACATTGGCGTCATGTTGAAGTACATCCCCTGGAAGTGCTTTGCTGTAGTACGCTTCCCGTTTTCTTCGGCTAAATTTACAACAGCGAGCTTCAACTTCGTCGTATTATAATTACGGCAGCGCATCTCAAGGGAACCGTCAAAGCGCGTCGGCCGGATGGCAAAACTTAAACATCCGAAATCGACCAAGCGTGCGTTGCAGCATGGACGCAGGGAACGAAGGGGAACAGTTGGCTCAACAGGCTTTTGCACGCCTCCGATGCAGAAAGTCGTGCGTGTTGTGACGCGAGCATGCATTCTTTAGGGGTGTGCTAATACACTCATACCTCGTTATAACGTAACGGGATATAACAAAGTAATGGATATAACGAAGTAAATGAAATTCCTCTTGAAAGCACTATTGAAAACCATGCATTTTAAACCTTGCTGTAACGAAGTAAAATTGACTGGTAAATGAATATAGCGAACTAAATTAGTCTATCAAATAGTCTATAAAAAAACCAGACCGTAGTGTGTTAAGTATATCGTTTTCTGCAGAGTTTGACACTTGTTTGGAGCGACTCTTTCAAATCTCCTGCACCGACCTTACAGCCGCGCCCCATGCGGCTGAGAGAGCCGCTCTTCTTACACAGCCAGCGGAGAGGATTGAGGAAGCGCTCAGCAGGTCACTTGACCAAGAAGCGGTGCCGCGGTGCAAACCTATTTTTCTCTCACGACGGCAACGACTGCGTCTCCGCTGCTACCATGGCTGCTACCCTCGCAACTGAGAAAGAAGGACCCTTCGCCACAGATGAATAAAACTTTATTTTCGTATCCAGCATGTTTGTGATCCGGGCTAGACCGCACAAGGAGGTAGCGGGAGACCTTGTCTCTGTACAGCCTCCCTGGCCTGCTGGATAGCCCATTTTTGGTCTTGAACCTCCGAGCTTAGCAGCACAAGTTGCCACTGCTCCCGGAGGACCCCAGGAGAACTTGTTGATAGGCTGGGGCATTCCCATAATATATGTTTGTAAGACGCCTTTTCTGTTACACATAGCTTACATTTATTGTCCGGGTACAAGTTTGGGTAGCTCCTGTAGAGGTGCACAGGGTTCGGGTAGCAGTTCGTCTGTAGCTGTCGGTATTCCGATGCTTCTTGCCTGTTTAGACTCGGATGAGGGGCGGGAAAGACGCGCCTTGCTTCTCTGTAGTGTTGCATGTATTCTGTGTAGCTTGTAAATCGGTCTTTGTGTGGTACGTCGGCGGCGCCGGGGAGGATCATCGAGTGGTGTGGTCGGGTTGCGCGGCGGGTTAATTCTCGCGACAACTCATGAGCCAGCTCGTTCGGATTGGGTGTATCAGTCCCTGTGTGCACCGGGAACCATACGAGGTATTTCGGTTCATCCACTTTGTGTAGTTCTTGGTTATTAACGAGGATTCTGAGGGCTTGCTGTGAAATCCGTCCTTGCGTAAAATTTCTGATTGCTACTTGCGAATCGCTCAGTATGAATGAGTGTTTGTTGGAGGTGATAGCCATGGCTATGGCTACCTCCTCAGCCTCCTCTATATTGTTTGTTATCACAGAGCAAGCATTAATACAAATGCCGGACGTGTCAATCACGACAGCAGTGTGGGCTTTTCGTTCAGGGTATGGGCTAGCATCTACAAAAAGAGATTTACTGTTCCTGCTGTGTGCTTTGAGCAGTGCTTTTGCTCGGTGTTTTCTGCGGTCCATGTTGATAATGGGGTTCATGTTTTTCGGTATCGGGTTAGAAATGATCTTAGCTCAGATTGTATTAGGGATGTCATTTTTGACACCATGTTGTGCATGGTACATGATCCCTAATCTACTCATTATATTTCTTCCCGTTTTAGTTTTACTGAGCCTTTCAAGCTGGGATATCCGCTGAGCTTCTATAATCTCTTCAAGCGTATTGTGTAGTTCTAGCTGAAGAAAAAGGTCTGTGCTAGCATACTCAGGTATTCCTATCGCTTGTTTGTAGACCTTCCGGATGAGTGCATTTATTTTATTAGTTTCAGCTTTTTGCCAGTTGTGGTATGCTGCTACATACGTTATGTGACTTATGACGAAGGCCTGAATTAGACGAATTATGTGGGCTTCTTTCATACCTCTGTGTTTATTCGTGACCCTGCGAATCAGTCTCATCGCATTCGTGACTTTGGTGTTTAGTCTGCGTATAGTCTCGCCGTTGGCACCGTTAGCCTCGATGACTAATCCCAGTACCCGTATTTTTGGAACTGTCGGTATAGCTGTGCCCTCCTGTGTATGAATTCTAATTTCCTCATATTGCCTCTTGTTTTCCTCTGGCTTGTGTGGTCTGCCTCTGATTGCTGGCCTGTAGAGAAGAAGTTCTGATTTCTCCGGGGAGCATGCGAGTCCTGTGCCTTCCAAGTATCGCGCAACTGTTCCTATTGCTTCTTGGAGTCTCTGTTCTATGTAGCCGTCGCTGCCATCACTGACCCATATTGTGATGTCATGCGCGTAGATAGAGTGATATAATCCCGGGATTTTATTTAACTCTTTCGGTAGTCCAATCATGATTAGATTAAAGAGCATTGGCGATATTACGGAGCCCTGTGGAGTGCCTCTGCAGCCCAATTCTTGGAGATCAGATGTAAGGCCTCCTAAGCTGAGCCTTGCTTTCCTGTTGGTCAAGAAGTTTCTGACGTAATTATAGGCTCGCTCACCCATGTTTAAGCTTGATATGCGGCTGAGAATTGTTTCATGAGCTGCATTGTCAAATGCTTTCTTGAGATCCAAACAGAGTATGGCTCGTGTGGATCTTGTGGAGTAGTCTATGATTTGGTGTTTAATCTGTAGCATGGCGTCTTGGGTGGCTAGGTGACGACGGAAGCCTATCATCGTGTGTGGGTAGTACTCACGATCCTGAAGATAGTTGTTGGCTCTATTTAAAAATGCATGTTCCATTACTTTTGCTACGAATGACGTTAATGAGATGGGTCGGAGATTTACTTTGTTGATTGGCTTTCCAGGTTTTGGTATAAGGATTGTTCTAGCCTCTTTCCACGCGTCGGGTATTTCCCCTTCTGTCCAACATTTGTTTATATTGCCACATTGAATATGCAGCGCCGAGAGAACAACGAAGAACACGGGGAGCGAGAGAAGAAGACGAGGTTCTCTTCCGATCAGTTTGCCAGTGTTCTGGTACAATTAAAGTGAGTTTCCTGGATTCGACTGCTGCTGTTTCTGCATTGCGACACTGGTGGAGGCGCTGGGTACATGTTCGGGACGCCTGACAACAGCTCCGCATCTGGTCAAGAAAGACTTCCGCGCATCGACACCCCCGTTCACCGCAGCAGCCGGCGCCTGTTAGGCCTCAGCCCGGAGTTTGGTCCATTGTTGGAAAGCGTGACTGTGCCAGAAAGCATGACGGCGCCTGGAAGCACTGGCCCCAACATGTCCAGCCCAAGCACGACACCGTTGACTGTTTTGAACCCTCGACTTCCGGTTGACTTCCATGGAAACGGATATGAGGATGCACATGACTGGCTCGAGCAATTCGAGCACACAGCGAATGTTAATGGTTGGAACACCACACAGAAATTGGGCTACGTTTATTTTCCGCTTCAAGACGGAGCCCGAACATGGTTCACGAATCGCGTGTGGTCGTCTTGGGACGAGTTCCGGCAGAAGGTCCTCGACACGTTCGCGAGCACTGAAAGACGAGAAATCGCACAGCGTCTCCTCGAGCCACGGATTCAGAAACCAAATGAATCCGTTAAGATGTTTGTTGAGGACACGGCGCGGCTATTTCGTCGAGCAGATCCTAATATGCCCGAAGCCAAAAAGGTTAGCCACCTCATGCGGGGCATTAAGGAGCAGCTGTTCGCTGGTCACATACGAAACCCACCTACAAGTGTGGATGAATTCTCCAAGGAGGCGACATCTATCGAACGCGCACTGCATCTACGTTATCGCCAGTATGACCGCCCAACCCACAGTGCACCGATCAGCGTGGCAGCCACTACCACAGCAACAACACCCGACGAAGGTTTTTTGCGCCAACTAATACGAGAAATCGTACAAGAAGAGGTCAAGAAACTCGTCGCCAAACCGAATGACTGCGCGATCGCCTCAGTAACGGAAGTTGTACGCCAGAAGATCAGGCAAGCGCTCTCGCTTCCTGAGCCGAACACGAGCACTCCCAGGGCAAGCTATGCAGACTTAGTCCGCCGACAACCAGCGAACGTGCGGACACCACATCAGTACCACCAGCAACATCCGCCGACAGCG